TGTGTGTGTGTGTGTATGTGCGTGTATTAGTTTCTATTTGGACTGTCGCAAAACATTGTAGCAATTTTCGTTGCGTTTGTAATTCCCATGTAAGATGTCAAACTCCCAAACGAGCAGAGCAAACTGACACACACACACACACAGAGAAAGAGAGAGAGAGACACACACACACACATACACAGACATAGACACATTACGGCTCTGTCTAGGCAGTGCGCCGCGTCTCTTGACGGCAGCGGCATCAGCAAATTGACATAATTTGTGACGCTGTCCTCCTCCTTCGGCTGCGGGCTGAGTCTCCAGCTCCAGCTCCAGCTCCAGCTCCAGCGCCAGCCACTGCTGTGCGCGCAAGCGTAAGTGTGTAATGACTGATTTGCCCGTGAGGCGCACATGACAGTTAGCGCCGCCAATCGCTGGAGCGGGCGACAGCCCCCCTCGGCGACTGCCACCCGCGCTCGTCACACAGAAACCGACTGGCTGCGCTTGGATTTTGGCCAAGTGGAGCGTGCTGCGGCTTAGGTGGCCCCAGCTGGCTGTGGGGTCATTGGCATGGATTAGTCTCAACGGCGGCAACAGTTGACAGACTTGACAAATGTGTCCTAGTTTACAGCTCTGTCAATGTGTGGCTGAGTGTGTGTGTGTGTAAGTGTGTGGGTGGGTGAGTGTGTTTATTTTATAGTTATTTGCATACACACGCAGGCAAGTTTCATTAGCCTGGCTTAATTGCCGGCTTGTTTGTCTTAAATATTTATAATACATCAAAATATATCTCATTATAGTTACTCTGATGTATGCACAATTAAATAGACCTTGCTGACCTGCCACAATATTGTTGGCATTAAATATGCATTCCATTCACAAGCATCATGCAACTATTTGTGGCAATAATTATAGTCCATTACAAATTCTATATACACACATATGTGCCAACAATACCATTGAGTGCACCTGTCTGGTAATATCACAGGTGTAAGCGAATATTGAACAAAGACTTAAGCCCACATTGCTTCGGAATGAACCAGACAGACGAATTCAACTAATTTTTGACATATGTAGAATACTATATATCCAAAAGTATTTTACTCTATAGTCTACATATGTATATTGTTATTGTTGTTGACTGGATTACAATAGAAAATAAATGCGAATCGCATATTCACAGTTTTACAGATTTTAATTTTAATATAATTTTGAATTCTGTTTGATGTTTAGATAATATTATTGTCATTGATATTTAATTTTTTTTTTTTTTTTTTTTTTTTTTTTTTTTTTTTTTTTTTTTTTTTTTTTTTTGATTTTATTTAAGCGTTGAACCTGTACATGCAAATATAGTACTTTAACAACACAGTTGATATTGATATTTAATTTTGTATTCAATTATTTCAGTTTTATTTTATATGAATTTTTTATTCTATTAAATATGCATGTTATTTATTTCTATTCTATTCTTTGAATATTTTATAAATATATATATATATATATATATTTTGTCATTTGTTTATTTACCTATTTTATTTTTGTTTTTGTCAAAGCATATTTTTTATTATCATTTCCAGCGAAAAGTTTTTTACCTTGTTCAAACATTGTCCGCCATGAAGTTGCCTTGTTGAGTTTGCAATTTAGGTTTGCAACTAATTTTTCCAAGTTTTATCATAATAGCAATATTTAATTTGCGTTGCCTTTGAGAGAGCTGCTTGCGCCGTATTAAAAGTAATTGCAAAATGGATGCTTAAGGCAGCATCTCAGCTATTATATAGTGTGTATTCATGCACTCTGTAGAAAGGGTATACAGCAGAGGGAACTCTGAAGCAATGTATATTTAATGGAGCGTAAGATAATTGCTATATTCTTAGAAGCATATATATACGTACAACAATCGAGAGACTCCGAGAGTCGAAGACATATAATTGTGAACATTAGCTTTGCAGTAATTATAGACTGACTTCTACGAAATCATTGGGAATCGATTTAAGCCGACGTCTAGACTCTTTTGATTATATATTAGTATTGGTAAATAGTAGGCACATCAAAAGGGAATATAAGCCGCAGGGGCGTATAGACCTTAGACGTTAAAAATAATATAGTTAACATGTATATAGAATATATTTAGAAAACAATGTGAACTTCTGTACAGAGTATCTCCCAGTCTGTCACATGCCCGCTCTATATATAAGCTTAGCTATAGTGCTCTTTCCGTACTTGTTTTGCTGGCACATAAGTTTTCTATTACACAATGTCATTTCAGTTTTTTATTTTTCTTATGGAGCGCAGGATGAGGCAGATACAAATTTCATTTGTTCGCGTTGCCGTGGCAGCTATATAGTTGTTGTTGTTGTAGTTGTTGTTTTCTGCGCGTTGCAGGAAAACTGCCAACAGCTCGGCAACACATACTTAACACACACACACATACACAGACACTCACTCTGTGAGAGGCACATAGAGCACTAAAAAATAAGAGAAAGAAAAAGAAAACGAAAACACACACGCAACAGCGAACTCAGCTGGGTTATGCACATAGCATTTATATTTATATAAGTTGTCTTTATATAAGCGAAAGAAGCTGTGAAACTTATGCAAATTGCATTTCAGGCAGCTCGACTCGCAGCCAGCGCCTAAAAGTATGCACTGCTAACGGGGCTGCGCTGCCAACTAAGAAGAAGAAGCAAAAAAGGTGGTGGAAAATGCGCATAATGAAATCCAATGCTATGGCCAAGTCGGCTTCTTAGCTCGGCTTGCGCCTTGGCTTGGACTGGGCGCGGCTTGGTTAGGATAGCTGCGGCGCTGCTGTAAGCCGGTTGCCACTTTCACGTTCCACTTTCGAGCTGCTGGCGCTGCTGCTGCTGCTGCTGCTGCTGCTGCTGTTGGTGGCGTCTTTTGTTGCCACCAAAGTTGTTTTACTCGTTTCACGCCACGAGTACGATGCGTCCTCTGAGCATGGTAATTTTCGCACAGGCACAACAAAAGTGTGTGTGTGTGTGTGCGTGCGCTTAACTGTAGACACTTGTAAAAATAGTGTGCGACTATATGGCAGGCACTGTCGCCGACCCTGGCCAACGGCAAAGCAGGTCACGTGTGGCCTGAACGAGGCATTGCGTCAGTGCTTCTTGTTCTTCTGCTACTTCTCCTTCTTCTTCTTCTTTTTCTTCTTCTTATGCTTCTTGTCTTGGCGAATTTTCTTTAAATAAATATGTACATGGCCATGCATACAGTGAAAACTCAATTAAAAAACTGCCGCGACTGTGCATCGGTCATATTTATTGTATTTAAAAGCCAAATTGCCGAAGAGCTT